CTTCTAACACAAATCAGGTTTCACAGTCAAACGTCAAACGGTACGAAGACAAAAGCTCGCATTCTTTTTGACACAGGCGACACAAGCGCGTACAAAGGTGTCACGCCTTATCATGGCCGCAGCATCTGAATCAGGGGGCTTCGTGGATCTGAGTCAATTGCAACAAGCCTCTCAAGTCTGAGATCGTCCTTGCTGCCACCACGCAGAATCGTTTGTAGGAAAATCGCGCCGTATGAGCAGATGCCTACAGAGGCTCGACCACGCGCCACAGTCGTTGAAGGAGTGAGTAACTTGGACGTGATGGACCTGAGGATCAGGATACGCAACAAACAGCCGTGCCAGCAGCTCACGATAAGAGTTTCTTTGGCCATGAGCCGCCGCGCACTAACGCCCATTGGATTGTCCTGTTGTTTAACGTTCATCTGAGAGAACCCAAAGAATGTTAAGGCTGAAAAATGGATGGTGATAGAAAAGACCTTCATCAAGTGGCCACAAAAATGTGCCAGATTCATGCAGCCTGCTTAGAGAGTAATGGAACTCTTGCACTTCCGCCAGCAAGTTCCGAATCTAATCTGCAGCCATTCTTTGGAGGTAGACGTCAAGCGTAGCGTCAGAATATATGCAAAGACGTACCACACATTTGGAGTGAAGGTCCAAAACGGGCTTGCCATCATCGCTCGAGCGGACTCGCTTCCTGTTCTCACTGAAACATCACCAACTCTCCTCGGGACACGTTGGCGAAAGGCACCACTCATGCTGGAGTCAACCACATGTTGTGAGGTTCAACATGCTGAGCAGTACTCATCAGCCTCACCAGCCTGTAAACAACAGGCCACCCATTTGCCCTTTGAAGAGTTTTCGTAGCCTAGAATTTTCGTGTCAGCTCGGCGTCACTTGATCGTGCTATTGTGGTGTCAGATGTAGTCTTGGCCGCCTATCTGGTGCAGATCAATCTGGGACATCTTCAAGGTGTCAATCAATCGTTGGGACGCTGCTTTTGAGACGGAAGCTTTCCTGAAGGAAAATACTGGAAGGGCACGAGAATCACAAGAACGGGGCAGGAAAAAGCTCTGCAATATCTGGCAGCTGTGCAGCTGTGAAATAGACCGCGATCCCAGTCGCTTGAAGTACTCTCGAATTGCGTATTTTTTGCGGTAACAAGCGCAGCAAGCAAAGCGCAAAAGCAACGCAGTGGGCTGCTATGTTACGATAGCATAATGTGCATAAGATGACCCACGTCGAGCAGTCAAGGACAGTCCTAAATTGCCTAGATGACGCACTCAGACGCACTCCAGATCCTACCCCGGTTCAGATCCGCATGACTCCACTACATGAAAGACGGGCACAGGCCAAACCTATGTAGTTGTCTTCGTTAAATCGATTCTCGTTATGCAAACATCCATCCCTAGCCCCGAATCCATCAGACAAGATAGACGTGTGTAAGTGCGTAGAAACATCAGCATAGAGTTGTCAGGTAATGCACCACAGATACGGCCGGGGGTGCATTGATTGCACAACAGTGACGTCATCAGAGCTTCGTGGCTCATGCAGAGCTCTAGCCT